CGTAAAAGTGAAATACTAGTGATACATTTCATTATCATTGAATTATGAAATGTACTTAAATGTTGATTAGAGAAACATTGCCATTAACTTAATAAAAAGCTTTATCACAAAATCTAAAACTTTACTTTGAAGTACAAATTGTAACTCTTATAAAAAAATAAATAAAGATCTAAGCCATTTTTACATTTTCGGCAAAAGGCAAACGTACTATAGCAAATTGGTAGTTTAATACAGGAAAGCAACATTTCAACAGATCTGTACCAACTATCACACATTCAATGTTTCGTGTAGTTTCCTTAGCTATGCCAAGTAATAGAATATGCCAGCAAACATATAAATTACACAAGTTATACCAGTAACTGGTACAAATCCTGCCAAGTTTAGGAGGCACGCATGTTCTTAAACCACGACTCTCCCAGAGGAAAAGTTTTGCGGATGTTGTACCTAATTCACTCGTATGGAGTATACTGAGTTTACAACGAAACAGGTTGGAAGGGAAATCAAATTCAGATTTTGGACTCCAAACTAATTTATATTACATATACAGAAGTGATAACTAATTAAATTGATACAAGTTTTATTGGATTTTGCATTAGTTGACTTAAAATATTGAGGTTACATATTTGAAAATTTGGTGTCTTTAAGCCCGAGCGCCTACCCGTAAACAGCCTATTGTTGTTTATGGGTAGGCGCTCGGGCTTTCCGTGCTCCATTGCGCCTCATCATCGCTTACCGTCTGGCGAGGTACAGACCAATCGGCAATATATTGTTTAAAAAATACATTTTACAGTAGTTTTACATTTTAATCATTATCATCTTCATCAGCTATACGACGTTGACTGGTGAACATAGACTACCTGATTTCCAGATCGGCTGGTTGGAAACAACTTGCATTCAGCGCCTTTCTGCGACCACGTACCGTCAAACACAGAGTAGAACGTCAACCTAGAAGGATTTTAGTTTACATTTTTTTATTTCTTGTTTACATTCTTAAATGTAGCAAGTTTAAATCTTATTATTGACGAAAACAATGCTAGATTATTTCATTTGTGGAACAATGCTTTCAAATATTTAGTCCAACCACTTCATTAATAAATTGAGTTTATCTTCATCATTACTTACGCTATCCTTACAAAGAAACACACGAAGGAAATTAAGAGGAAATTAGTCGGATTTAAGGGGTCCCCCAAGGTTCTCTACTGGGCCCCAACTAGGGGACTTTTTCCTTTTATCGAACACTAACATTTGTTTTGCCCCTCTGTTTATTTAAGCAGGTGACGTAGTTTCCGGGCATTTGGATATAAACGAGTTAGCTTTTTTGTACTTTTATTTCAATTATAATAAATATTATATTAACTTCCTCACTTGTACGAAAACTTCATAAATAAGGAAATCCATATGACGTGAAAAGTGAATAAAAAGGATCACAATCTAAACAAAAGATGACCCAATTTCTTAAGTTAAACTAAAACTAAACAAATGGAAGTAGAAAGTTCAGAAGCAAACTTGCTTAAACAATTGAAGTGTAATTTGCAAATCAGTAATCTTCAGCCGATATCGCGGTTGTAATACATCACCGTACTAAACCACACCTGGGTAGCTACGAGGCACATTAATTTAAAGCTTCGCGGATAAATTTTGATAAATTAGATCACTTTCTCAAATACCAATTGAATCGCTGTCCAATTGATTGATTGCATTACACTTCTTTTCTACCGCATACAAAAACACACCTTAACTTTTATGGATAGGGTCACAATTCCTTAGAGGGTAGGTGAAAACACCTGTGTTTTGATTAAAGGGCCATTTTATAGGTTATCCTGGAGTCATAGTGTCGGGGAAAGTTGAGTAGTTTATCTTTGTTGGTGTAGGAGAACTGCTTTGAGCTTTACGAGGACATATTAAGTAAGAGGACGATGAAGTTTATTTAGGTCCGGTGAGGGAGTTAGAAATTGTTGAAGGTAATAAAGATAGTTTCCAACGCCTCCTTTTAGGCCAATGAGAGTATTTTAAGATACTTTTAAAAAAATGACTTTGAATGTACCTAAATATAAATAGGACAGATTAGGTATCAGATAGACACATTTCTATTTTCCATGAAAAATATTTTCGTTTATAATTTTTCTCATTCAGTTTCATATTTAATTTTCCTTAAAGAAACTCAAGCATTCATTAACATGGGTTTAGTACGCTCGAAGAATTCCCTAGCGTCTCCGAAACAAATTACTGAATGTAGGACTCAAATAAAATCATCCGAGTACAAATTTATGCGTTCGTCTTGTTGTCTTTATTTTGCGGCGCCATTAGTATTCTTTTCTGGAGTCAGTGACGAATGGCCGTTATGTGTGAACGATTCCCAGTGATTCCTTGCCCTTGATTCCTTCGTCAACTGGGAGGAAATATTGCGAAGATATTTGTTTATTTGTTGGCAAAAGATGGAATTTTTTGATGGATTGCTTGTAGGGTGTAGTGGTAACTTTTCTCTCGCATATAATGTTAGAGTTCCATGAACAATTAAGTTGTAATATGTTTTTGTTGATTTGAATTTGTTCTCAGTTTTCTTTTTAAATAATAAGTTTACTCGCTCTCTACTAAAAAAATGTTAAAGTGTTTGCGATAAATTATTATAAACAACTTCATTATCTTGTCATTTTCACGTTCGAAAACTTTCTTCATTTATTTTGGATTAACATTGTTACAATAATGCCAACTAAATTATAATTTTGATATAAATAAAATGTAAATGAGACCTGTTTCCAATGGACCTATTAAGGTGTCCCAGATGTAACCTTTTAAGGGTCGCACCTGGTTTATTGATGAAATATTTTAAAGAAACATTTTACATATGAATGAGGGATTAAACACAAAACATTTTATAAAATAAAAGACTACTTAGAGGATAGTCAGGCTTGGGAATGAGCCGCTGTAATGTCTGCACAGGTCATGTTGACATGTTTGTAACATAAGTTACACTTTTATATACAATTTGACATTACGTTTATTTTTTTATACAATGACATGATCATTTTTATTTTTTATTTGACATTTTTTTTTATTTATTTGTTGACATTTTTATTATTTTATATTATTGTTAGTGTAAGGACCGTGTGAGACTTGTCGTGCTTTTTGATCACCAGTCATCTGCGTTCTGACAGTTTGAGTACTTGCGCGACCCACCCAAATGTTCTTTTGATCGGTATTGTTCGTCGGACAACTCAGCAGCACTAGCTATACTGGTTGCAAACTGACACTTGCGTGCCTGTCTTCAGAACGGGTCCACTTAAACTGGTGTGGTTCTTTCCTCAAAAGACCACTACAGAATGAACTTGCACGGTTCTCTTACATTATGTTATTTTATATTGTCTGGACTTGAAAAGAGACTGACCTCTGAGTTTGTTTCGGCATTTCTTCTCAGAGTAGTCAGATAGGAAATGTCGGCTTCATGTAGTTTTTCACATATAATTTGACGTGTAAAAGTGCCGTTTTATGGCCTATTTGCAAAAATAAATTCATTGTTTCATTGTTTCAAACAGGTGTGGTTTTTATTAAATATTGATATTTATTACAAACGGAATAAATTTCCGATTTCTTTGACTAAAAATTTACTTATACTTAACCCTATTGTTCTGCTTACGAACACCTCATAATAATATAGTTGACGAGCCAATGAAATTTAATTGTCCTTTTTATTTTATATTAGTATTATTTTCAAGGTAAAATCTGCACTAAAACTGTTACCTATTTTTCTATAAAATACACTTGAATTTCCCTTGTTATTACATTACATAAACCATTTTCTTAGCTAAATATAACTGAAATGCTACACAGTTTGACAAAACATACATTACATAAACATTTCTTCCACTAAATCGTCGACTTACAGCCTTTTAGAGTGTCAGCAATGGAGCGACCTTACTATTAACTGAATCACTATTGTTATACCCACCATTACACACCAATTGTCCGTGAATAGATAGCCACCTTATTTTTTTTATGGGAAATCATCAAATAGAACCAAGTATTTGATGAATGCTGCAAAAAAATTCAAGTACTTTACTTACTTTTTTGAAAGGGAAAAATCATCGTATAGCTTCTCTCGCATTGAATGTGGTGACAGGAAGTATCAGACTCTTACAGAATAAAAACTATCCCGTTCCTTCTCCTGAACCGAGATAAATGTATTGCGCTTGTGGTATCCTATACATATATTATACTTGGCAACGCAAGTATTTAGTGCAAGAAGTCTGTGTTGTTCATCATTCTTCTTTTTTGTTTACTAACCTGTAATGTCCCACGGCTGGGCAAAGGGCTCCCCATCTCGCTTCCACACCTTCCGATCTTCCGACCGTGTCCATAGTCTCGACGTTAGGCGTCTAAATCGTCACGCGATCTTTTCCGGGGCAGGGGGTTATTCATTATTTTTAAATAACTAAAAAGTTACAAGACAAGTAAATCTATTTTACACTCAAATTTATATTTTTTTTATTATTAAGCAATATATATTTTATTCATTATTTTGAATTCCGATATTCCTACCTAATATCATGTTGATCAGGTAAGGCAAGGCAAGGTCTGTTATGGTATACTTTGTCAACTTAACTAGAAAAACCGAGCTGAATTTTACACAACCTTAATCAAAATTCAGCATACCAACAAAATTAACATACAAAATCCTAAACACCTTAAACTGTTTCTAACTGAGCTAAAATTGAACACTTATCGTAATGGCTAGAGAGCGCTCTGGGACTTAATTCTCTCCATTACATTGTATCAAAGATTTCATTAGTGATACAAGATTAATTTCGGGATAACGTAAAGATTAAACTCTGAAGATCGCGAATAAATATTGCTTTAATAGTACGTGAGTGTCTCAGTCAGGTCTTGGATTAATATAACACGTGTTATATAATTATTAGTTGTGTTAATTAATTTCTCAGAATCAAGTAAAGAGTGTTTTGAAGAATCATTGTGTAATACGAGTATTATCACATCACCAAAGAATGTATGAGCAGTTATTACAGCAGTTGCTTAAGATGATGGTTATTTTATACTTTTAATAAGTCCAGATTCCTCAACAATTTTGACTGGTCGATCCCCGGACGGAACAACTCACAAAAAATCTAATCTGATTCTCAGCGGTGCACTTTTAGAAGACCGAATTCTGTCAATAAGTCACTTAACTGACTGATGCAACGCGTAATGTACATTTAAATTAAAAGTTTTTTTTTACTTTATTTACAGGTACTACAATACCAAGATGTGAATGCTCTAGTCAAAAGAGAAATGGAGGAGGAACAATGTATGAATTGCACCCTCTACGCAGAGTTCAACGATACTTTCTATAAGAACATCACCAAAAATGAGACTACCATCAATAAGTTCTATTTCTATCAGGTAAGATTTTTTTTAATAGGGCTATTGGCTATGTCCAACCGAGTAGTGGCGGACAGATAACGACCGCAGCGCACAACACGGCAGAAATTGGAAACAAATGCGGATGATCAGCTGTCGGTTTTTATTATTATACTTATTCACTTTACACTAAAACTATTGGAATAAATCGCACTTAAATAATGCCAACAATACTATTTTATTCTTTTGTTTTATATATATTTACAAAGAAAATTATAATATTTATATTGTTATTATTTGACAGCTTCCGCAAATGTTGTAAACGCTACGCGTCGCCACCGTCGCGCTCATAGCCGAAACGCGTGTACCCACAGAACAGTTTTTATTCCGTAGCTAGACCGATTCCAATAATTATTTTATGTTATGTTTGCGAAGGTCAGGTGAATATCTTGTTAAATACGATATTAGAAAATGGAACTATGAAGTCTCTTTTACCGAAAAGCATTAAATGCTTTTTGCTATATCCATGCTTGACAGGTTGGCGATTAAAAGTTTTTGGAAAGAGTTAGGTAAGAGAATTAGCCAAGTTCACTATCAATAATCATTGTAGTTTTAGAAACGTAAAAAAATAATGGAAATCCATTTGCTAAGGGAATAAAGAATAAAGTTCGTGTGTAAATTATGTCTGGCATGCTACTGCCCAAAAGTTGTTAGTTGAGATTTTCTATCCTGGTTCAACCGTGCTCAAAGTAGCGCGAAGTTGTGTTTAAGATGTCATCAGTTGATTTTTATCGCCGTATTAACTCGTATTTTGTCGACGATAAAGCTCAAAATCAATTTGATCTTAAACTGAAAATTTAAACATAACATCAATCTTTTTAATTCAACATAACAGAAATCTCCTTTATTTCGTATATTACTCGAATACGTTCTCTTAATGAATTTTGCTATTAAACCTTCGAGTCATTAAACTTAATGGTCTGTCAAAGTGTTACTTCAATAAAATAATAACAATGCTTTTGATATGTAGCATTTTGAAAGTGTAGGGAGACTTGTATAGTTTATCGCCTTCGATAACTTATGTATAGAAATGTAGTGAAAATTTCTTGTGCTATTGTTATTTGATATAAATTGAAATATTAATTGCAACATGAATATCAAATAAGTTATTGCAAGAAAAAATCACTGGTTTCTTTTCTCGTTTCACGAAAAGTACTAATGAGGTCGCGCAAGGCATTTGTTTTTCTCGCTGTAAAGAACAAATGATTGAGAATTCAAAATAGTGATAACTATTTTAAAAAAAGAACAGAATTTGGAGCCATTTAATAGTGTTTTATTAGCATGCTGTATAAGGTAAAATAATGCACTATTTGTTAAGTCCAATCTACAAATATTTTTTTAAATATGTGATACTAAAATATCCGACCTTGCATTCGCAATATAAATTAATTACATCACGTCATTTGTTAGTCAGTTTTTCTCAAAATGCTATTATGGTTTGGCTTAATTCTTTTTTTGTCAATTTAATGTTAAGTTACTTTTTTATTTACTAAATTTGTATGTCTTAATGAGAAAACATAGCGTTCTAATTTATTTATACCTAAGATATATATTCTATATTATATGTGTATATATTCTATCCGATTCTATTGGTTAAAAAAATTAACTGCATATAAAGGATTATATATTTTTAAGAATGTCAAGCATAAAATTATTTTCTTCTACCAGCAGACTCGTTTCACCGTGGTCAATTTCAAGTATCTAACACTAAGAAAGTAATCAGTTCATTTCATTAAAGTCGAGTGCAGAATTAATTGTACGGAGGGCTCCTGCAACTTAAATATGGGTCTAGACTCTCTCCTTGTTTTCTAATTTGTTTAAGACCGACTTAATTTAAAAGCTAAGATATCACTCGGTTTGTAAAGAGGTTTTTTTAATTAATATTTGAGCTAAAGTTGGGATTTTGCATTTTGCACAAATGTATGCATATGTGTGTTTTACTCTTTCTGTATATACGTTATCAAATTTAATTATTAAAATAATAAAAATGGTGGAATAATATCTGCAGATTTTAACTAGAACTTTAGTTTGAAATTAATATTATAAGAAAACTTAAAACAACATCTATATATTTGAAATTTTCGCTAATTATCTCAACCACTGATAAAAAAAACACTTTTACAAAGGTTTTCATTATGGTTGTAACAACAGTTAGTACAAGACCCGGTGATAAATTATTAAACCTTCGAAAAGAACTAATTATGAACTGCTAAAAATGTCGAAAACCTTCTAGAAAACGTAAAGAAATTAAAAACAAATAAACTAATCGATGTCCTTCGGAAATTTTCATACATTATATAAAGATTGTGTATTATGCTAACAAGATTGTTATAAAATGTACACTTTTCATGATTGTTACACATGTACATAAGTATTTTATTATTTGCATTAAAGTTAGAAGGCAAACAAGCAGACCGATTACCTGATGGTAAGCAATCGGCGCCACGAACCGAACCCGTAATACCAGAGCAGTACATTGCTGGCTTTTAGAGATTAACGTTACAAACATTTAGGGATTGCAAAGCGACTGCCGGAGGGGAATGATTGGGCTTCTAGTAACCTCAATCCCACGGTAAAACACAACGTTGTGGTAGTTTTCTGTTTGAGGCCTTGGTACTCCGGTCCAGCCGACTCATTTGTGCCGAATCATGGTTCTCCCATACTCCACCTTATTCGTGTATGTTTTATTCAGTCAGCACAACTGGCGATACTATGGATGCTGCTCGTGACCATTGTGGCTGGCAACGCGACCGTAGTGCTCGCGTTGTTACTCACCAAGTCTAGGAAGAGTCGGATGAACTTCTTCATCATGCAATTAGCAATCGCAGGTTAGTGTCGAAACTTAGAGTACAAAACATCACTCTTAATTATTTACACTCTAACGGTAATAATACGTCTCAAGCTTTACAAAACTTTCTCGCTGTAACAAATCTTTTTAAATTATAACTAGCGTGATATCATGCCGAATTTATAAAAAATAACGACTTACTCTGAGTCGCCGCCATGCGCACACTGCTCATGAATAAGAGGCCCGTTGTGACTTGAAACTAGTCGGGCTTTTCTCAGCTAACTTACTAAAGTCTTTATTGAAAATTTTTCTTAGAAGTAATGTTAAATACTAACGAATAACTAATATTGATGAATTTTAATAAACCCAGAAAATGCAGTAGATATAGTTTCCCAATATCAAAGTAATAGATACTTTAAGCAAGATTAACTTAAGAAGCCGAGTTCACAATATAACCTAACAAAAAGTAATTCAATATTTACTAGAACTTCACCCTTTGCTTTCTTAATAAACACAACAAGTACTAGAAACCACACTTTAATACTAATCTTTCTTACAAATCGTTTTCCAATTTACTTGAGTAAATTATTTTACTTATTTACTGTTTCATAATAAGTACCTAACCTATATTAACCTTCACAAATAGGTTTATGTTACCAAAACGAGATTCCATTTTATTGGTTCACCAATATCCTTTGGAAAGATAAATAATGGAATATTATTTTCAGATTTATTAGTGGGTTTAATAAGCGTTCTGCCGGATTTAATACAGCGGATCACAATCACGTGGCTTGCGGGGTCCATCACGTGTAAAATGATGAAGTATTTACAAGTAAGGTTTTATTGTTATTTGTAAATCTAATACTAATATTATAAAGAGGTAAAATTTGTAAGTTTGTATGTAGAGGGTAATCTTTGGAATAGCTGGTCGGATTTCCAAAATTCTTTCACTGATAGATAGCTACAATGTTTTTAAGTGCTATATAGGCTATAAAACATCACGCTCCGATTAAATAGAGCCGAGCAGCGGATGAAACCGTGCGAGGTTAGCTAGTCACAAATAAAAAGAGTGTACTTTATGAAACTGATTAAAAAGGAATATCCATAGAGGTTCTTGCTCGGCAGACTTTTATTTTTAAATCTTTGATGATTAGGGTCTAATACATTTTGAAATTGGCTTATGTAATGTAACTACTCAGCCTAATTGTGTTTGTGTTTCTTCTATACTGGTTTTAAGTTTTATGAACACGATTGAACTCCACGATGCGGTGGCTAGCAATCTTACATGTAATATTTAACTGCACTATCAACAAAATGTATTATTAAGTATTTATAAAAAAATTTGATTCCTCTTATACCTACAGCTATAAAACTTTTGTTTCACGTTTCGCCATAAGGATAAATTGTAATGGGTAATCTATTTTCAGGGTGTAGTAACATATTCTTCCACATACGTATTAGTGGCACTGAGTGTGGACCGATGTGATGCCATCACCCATCCCATGAACTTCACGGGAAGCTGTAAGTATACATTGGAATTGTTTCCATTTCAAAATATCTTTGAAACTAGGTCCAAGTGTTTATTTTTAAATAAATAGGAGACTATATTCACATATTCACAAAAAGTCGAAATCTATGCCTAGATTCTGACGATCACATCGCTACTAAATATAATAGTACTAGTAATAAGCTGGTGAAAGCTAAAGTAAGGTCTCCTATTACTTTGAGGAATAATAAGACCTCGTGTATTTTTTTAAAAGTAACGATCAGGAGATATTACTATACTAAATCAAAATATCAGCTCACTCACTCGTCGGCTGCGCGATCCGTACACTGCACATGAATCAAATTGCCGCTAACACTTGAAACTACTCGTAGTACTTAGAAATTTTCTCGATTATTTTATTCGCTTGACGCTTAAGTATTTATTTATATTTCTCTAGCATTCAATTTTCAATGATAAATGACATGGAAATTCAACCACCTTAATTAGTAGCTATGAACTCGTTGAACGCTCTGGGGGACAACCTGTGTGGACTATGTTATCGGAGAATTTACTCTCAACAATAATCTGTCGGCATTCAATGACTAAATAAAACATACCAGAGATTAAAACTCGCCATAACTTATATAAATATCAGACATTACAACGAAAAAATCAACCAACAATATCACCATTATTCTTTTAAAATAATCCTACCTATAGAACATAGAAGAATATAAAAAAATGTCCCCGAGAACACTGGAGCGCATCATAAGTTATTCTAAGTAGAACTTAAGGTTCAACTGTGACAAAGTCCAGACAAGTTTCGTTGTATATTTCCCGAAGTTTGTCCACTAACAAAGAATTTGTTCCGCTTTGAACATTATTACTATCACTGTTTGTCTTCGCCCTAGATAATTGTGTTTCAAGTACTAAATTATTTTTATGAACACCGTTGAGTACAATTGTAGACTTTGTTCAGACGTGTTTTTTTCTTTAAAATGTTTCTCCTCTTATTGTTCGATAACAGCATTTGTTTGATATTTATGTTTAGGTCTACCACGTTAGTTTAGTCCTATTGTAATTAGATTAGAGATTAGATTTTTTAGGTGTAATTCTCGGTTCAAGTAAAACATACGAATGAAGACTGTTTTGGCTATAATATCCTTAGTAGTACATCAATCTTAAATTGATAAGCCAAATCTATAATAATATTATATAGCTGAAGAGTTTGTTTGTTTGAACGCACTAATCTCCGGAATTACTGATTCGAATTGAATTATTCTTTTTGTGTTTGTTAGTCCATTTATCGAGGAAGGCTATAGGCTATAAAACATCACGCTAGAATCTGTAGCAGCGGGTATACATTATACAAAAACAATACATAGTTGAGTTACTTTTTAAGTAAATGGGCCTTTTTTCAGAGAATGTTAGGTTACATTTGATTTTCCCTGTAGGCAATAATATTAATAAGGTTTTATATACACAGGGCGTCGAGCGCGTGCGCTTATCCTTGGAGCATGGTTCGTCAGCTTTCTGTTCTGTGTTCCGATGCTATTCCTATTTGATGAAGCCAATGTAGAAGGTGAGTATTAATAAGAAAATCTTTTTCGAAGAGCGAATCTGCTACTCTGTGTGAACTAAAAAGAAAACAAGTTTCTGAATAAAAGTTTATTAAGATTCGATTAGAGAATTAAAATAATTGCATCCCCAATGTTTGACGTGCAAAAGTGCCGGTAAGGGTCTAATTGGAATAAATGATTTTTGACTTTGACTGGCCAAATAACTGACTTTTTAAATGGTGAAAATCATCAAATGTGTTTTCCCGCCCCAGATGGGATGTGTCAGACTCTTTCTGACCACTCTTCTCTCTCTTGTCGACTCGACTGTTTGTAAACCATTCCATTTCTTCTCCTGATCCAGGCCGGGGCAGCGGTTCATAATGATGAGCTTGACCCGCTACCCCGGACAAAACAATAGCCTTAGAACATATTTATCGAGTATTCATCTGAGAATAAAATTCTAAAATATGTTTACTGAAAGCGTCAAACGAAATTGACTGATATCTAAAGCTATTTATGGACCAATTCTGTCTGCATACACTAGAGATACTTACAGTGTATAGAGATATTGGGAACACCCACATATGTAGTATGTGCAGACAAAATGCTTGTCTAGCTTTTAATAATGCTGTTAGCTCTTAGAACTTAATCGGTTCTATTTTATGAAGGTTTAAGCAAAAGGGTTTAAGTAAAGGCGAAGATCTTGTAGGTATTAGAATAATGACGAAAGTATAGAAGATTTTAGATAGAAATTGCTGTTCTTATAAAATCACTGTGAGAGGTCATCAAGTAAAACATTTTTTTTTTGTAGAATAGGCTGATCTTGTTTAGTACCTATATAACCATCAATCAAATTTTTTTTTACTAATAATATTTTTATCCAACTAGGTACCTAGCTTCTCTAATGAACAGACTGACGGACTAATATTTATTTCATTTTGACGTTTCAAAAATACCTGTATGCTGGAATAAATGTTTTTGACATTTACACAAGTAATCAATCTTTATTCAGAAACTTAAATACTTCTACAATCAATATCTTTTAAGTATGGCAAATACTTGGGCTATGAGGCAGTTAATCGTTTCTTAATTGCAACACTTACAACAAAATGTATATAAAAAAAACAATATCTCTGACGTAAAGAGCAGTTTCGAATGATATTAATATAGTTCCTTCTGGTAATAGGTCAAACGCTTACATATATATTAAAAAAAATCAAAAACGTAATTTATAACGCCCAAATATTTTCCAGGGATCTACCAATGCTGGTCAGGCATCAGCAAACTGCAGTGGAGGATATGGATGACCAGCGTATTTGTCTCTTTGTTCGTGGCTCCAGCATTGACAATATCAGCTTGTTATGGAGTGATCGTGGTCACGATACGACAGAAAAGCAATAGAGTATTAGGCAGACGAGCTACGGCCACTAGACAATGTAAGTTTTTAGCTACATGTGTCATCTTCGTTTAACATTAATAACCTTGTTGGATTTTTTATAGGTTATGGCATACGGGTAGTTGGGTTACCTGATGGCAAGCAATCGGATGCACCAAAGAAGTTTCAAATACGTTGCCGGTCTTTTGGGGATAAGGGTTTCGGATTTTTCAGGATTGGGAAGGGATTAGGAGGAGGGGGAAGGATAGGACCTCCGGTAACTTGCGAAACACAACGCTGTGTGTTGTGGTTTTTCGTGAGTCGTGATTTCACGCCGGTCGAGCCAACCCAGAGAGAGCTAAGCATGGGTACGCAACCCATGCTTAGCTCTCCCACACTGTTATTATCTAACTATCATCATATACATGGAAAGCTTTAGATCTATGGCTTTTAATTATTCGTTAGATTGAAAGGTCATGTTCAAATTAAGTAAAATAACTAAAAAAAATATGCACTTTCTTTTAAGTTTTCAGACTAAACTAAAGAATCCTTCTAACTAAATTTAGAAATAAAAAGAAAATTTAGGGTCACAACTATTCTAACAGTAGTCACACCTGTTCTCAACGAAACACACCGTTCCAATCTAATCACATAAAACTTTCTAATAAGTAATTATACTTTTTGGCCATCCCTAATTCGTAGTTTGGGAAAACTCGTCGCATGTGATTAGCAATTATGTACCTTGTGTACTCTTAAATAGTTGTTTATGTTGCCTGAATGAAGTCTAAATTAGATTAGGTCGGTATTAATGGTTTATAAATGTATTAGATGTTTAGTGTGGTGATAAATTCTACTGTTAATGGTATTTTGATGTTCTGTTCTACGATTTCTACAAAGCAAATACGAAGTTAGGAATCTATTTATAGGTTTTACGTGAGTTAGGATGACCTAGACTAGATTTTATAGATTACCTAAGCTCTAAACCCCACCAATCATTGTTTACCTAACAAAAAATAGGTACAAATTTTATTTCCTTGTATACTCTATTTCCAAACTTAAGCCCTTGGGCCATACGTCTTGCAATAATCCTACCTTATACTCGTATAGTTCAGACAGCTGATAAATCCACACAATGCTAGCACTGAACTGGTTGCGCTAAAAATAATAGACAAAAGAGGATCTATGTACAATGGCAGCCCTATCCCACATTTGAATAACCCTATAAAAGAGAAAGTAGGTAATTTGAAAATAGAACAGCAAAAAAGAATTACTTATTGACTTAATCACTATACAAAGAAACAATCCGACCCGAAAACCTCCAGGATTCAATTTGAACAAATAAATAAAGCCAAATCGATACAGAATATCAATATACCGTCTTAAATCAAGGGCAGATCTAAAAACGTGGCAAAACTGGTGATGTTTTGAAGTCTATAAAGTATAGACTGCAAACCACTCGGATTTATGTCGACAAATAAAAAGTTATCCGTTTCTTATTGAATAGTAAACGAAGGTTTGGAGGGAGAACGATAAACTTTGTTGCGAAGGATTATCTTGAAATGAGAACAATATCAGCCTTGAATATAAAATTCTACTAAGCTGTTCTTATGGCTGATTTTTCAATGGTTAGATAAAATTTATCAAACGAATAAATATGATGCTGTCGCGTCAGAATGTTTGTATGAGACAGTGACAGCAATAATGTTATTGCTCAGATAACGTTTCTCTGACTATTGAAAAATCAGCCCTTAGTCTAGTATTTGTAAAGCCGATTGATACGCTCAAGTTGTTTGTGTATGTGCCTATTTTTAATTAAAGACCCTAAGCTCGTTAGCTGATAATTTTTTTGTCGAATAACAACACGCCGTAGGTCTAACTCCGAATTCGAAATCCGTTACGTCTCTTTATAGTGGAAAAAAGACCTGTTATACTATTTAGTAGGACAATATTTTTCTTGTGTCACTTTTTTTGTGATACATCGGCAAACGTGCAGATGGATTACCTGGTGGTAAGCGATCGTCGCCATCCATGCACACCCGCAACATTAGAGGAATTGCAAATGCTTTGCCTGCATTATGGGGATCAAGAGTTTTGTGAATTAGAAGATTGGGGAGGGATGGGGGAGAGCAAGGATTGGGACCGATACCCTAACTCACACGGCGAAATATGTACAGTGCTGTGGTTGTTTCACGAAAGTATTCTGTGATGCCGTGGTATCACTCCAGTCGAACCAAACCATTAACAAAAGCATGGCTCTCGCAAATTAAAATGATTGACATCGTCACGATAGCCAGTGCCGCTACTAACTCCCATTAGATACTAAAGGCCGTTGATAGTGGGTTTGCGTCGATTAACCTTAGTAAACAAGCTATCCATACAAAAAAATTGTGATTTCAATATACAGAGTGTATCTAAATATGTTGTCCTCATCATATTTTAAACTGAGGTATTGTAAGCGTCGTTAGTTGAACGTTACAAGAGAAATCACCCACGAATACAATATCACTATCCTGTCAAGCAATTTAAACTCTGTTCTGTTCTTCTAAAATAAAATATTAATGGGCAATCTTTATTGCAGATAGTGACGACTTGGACAGCCGACGGGCCAGCAGCCGAGGCATCATACCTAAGGCAAAGATCAAAACTGTCAAAATGACATTTGTTATTGTTTTCGGTAAGTGATTTATTCCTTCTTTCTTTTCTACAAATAATTAAATCAGCATCTGATAAACAAAAACTTAAAATACATTAATTTTTGTTTAGTTTCCGACGGAGTTTTGTATATTTTATGTAAATAACAAAACTCCTTTTTATGTAATTAGAAACAGTTTTTTACGTTTTTCTTTTGTGTGTACTTATACATAAATGTTTAAAAGCTAAAGTGTTTAACTGTAGATTGGGTATTAACGTTAAATAAACTTGACACGTAATAAGTTAAGATTTGATGCGATTTCGAAGCAAATCAAATGCAACAGTTTTTGGCAGGATCAAAACATTTTATCTTTTTAAAAATTTTGGCTCTTTTAGGGCATTTTCCAATATCTTACAAATTGCATTACATGATCAAAGTTATATTGTACATAGTGGTTTTGATAACCATAAAGCATGGTAAAAAGACATATATAATGTTATTAATGAAAGAAAAATGAAAATCATGGAAATGGCAACCCTTGAGTTACCTACATACTGGTTTAAAGTGACGAACGCTTGCTTGACCTGTATTTTAAGAGATCATAAAGTTTGATAATGTTCCTTTTGTTTATCTTTTTAACATACCACAAGCAAAAACTCCACGTAACCGAAAATAATTATCTCACAACATAATCTCGCTACCTTCATATATTACTCTGTTATTAGTGAAATGACTATTCCGTGTTCCCCTACACAAACACGCCGCCCGCTGACGGACAGACACGCGAACAAAACAGAAAAGTGATATTATTCACGTGACATTTTGAATTTTTGGTTGGAAACGTTAAGTTATAATAAGGTGGTTTGAAAAAAGAATTGGTAGTGTAGTACTTAATTTCTTGAATAAATTATATCTGGTTTTTTTAAAGCAATGGATTGACAATGGAAGGTAGGTACATATCTTGAATTTGAAGTTCAATCAAGCATTTTAAAAGTAAAAAATGCATAGATACATCGGTATGTATAGATTGGAAGATTTTTTATGGATTAGGAAGATTATGTATTCACTGTCATTGTCACTTATCCAACAATTTACATAAGTGAGAAAATTTTTAATTTTAGTATAATGATGCATTTTATAATTTTCCGACCTTTTAATCTTTGCTAACCTTCATAAATGTTTCGAGGCTTAAATAAACTAAATCGGTTCAACCCCTATCAAGTTATAGCGAGACTAACGAGCAGCAATTAATATTTTATAGAGCAACCTCATTAAATACACCCGAGCCTACGGCACGTAGCGTTCCGCGCGCGCCTCAAAGAGCCAATAGACCACCACAGACGAAGCCCTATTGGGCTTATATTCTTATATTCAGTCGGGGTAAGCGCAATGAGGTACCATGGCAGGAGAAGGAACGGGGGGTGTTTAGTCGGTAAGAGTCTAACACTCTCTCACGCCTTACCGTGGGCGGGAGAAGTCATTTGATGATTTTCCCTTGACAAAAAAACCTCATTAAAGACACGCCATATTACATCCACTTCACCGTCTCAAACAGTTCTAAGAAGTAATAAGTGCCAGAGCGTTAATACATTGAGCACAATTTAATGTAAAGTATTTGTAAGCTTCGAGACAACAGTTTGAACATTTATACATGATGGAGAGCATCGTAAAGAGATTTTATTGTCACCAGTTTTGTGGCCTCTTGTCATATCGCGATGGCAGTTACATTTCTTATGGCTTTCTAAGAGATTTGACCTTTGGACGTAAAAAGCAATAACAGCAAGTACTAAGTCTGTTTAGTTTCAATTTATGAATCATGGGCTGGGAAAATTTTATTGATGGAAATTTTTGTAGGTAGTGAGCATAGAATTTTATATGAAAAGTTTTTCGCTATCATCAAACTACTAGTGACATACTGCCGTATTCTGAATCATTTCAATTGTCATTTATCCCGTGGTATGCCGGCCGGAGTGCGGATCCACGCGAGACACAATATGTTTTCTATTGTTTGTCATATATCGGAAGATAAGACCCAACCCTCCCCCTCCCCAATCCCTCCTCATTCCCAAAAGGTGGGCAACGCACTCGTAACTACTCCGTCGTTGCGGATGTCCATGCAGCTCTGATTGCTTACCATCAGGTAATCCGTTTGCTCGTTTGCCGAACTATCACATAAAAAAAATATATAATCGGAAAACACTTGGCTAGTTTTCTTTACGTTATTTTCCTTCGCCATTTGTTAATGGTAGATTACATATAGTATGGAAATAGCCACATTGGTTCTTGAAATGTGTCAAACCTCATGCATGAGAAGCAGTCGTCGTAACGTCGACCAAACCCATAATGCTTTACGCCTATTAATTCAAATATTTAAATAAAATATGTTACTATTTTACAAGAAAAAATTTCCAGTTCATTTTTAATCCAATATCGACGTGGAAAGTTCCAGAACTTTAAAGATTACATTCCGCCCGCGACGATAATCACTCCCGAGCGTGGAGACTTTAAAAACTTGTGTTATAAAAAACCGGACGGCTTTATGGGTTAAGCTCAAAAGAATATTGTTAGTACCTAAGGCACTGTAGACGATCGTTTAAGAATTTCATAATATTTTACCTTTTGATGTGAAGTAACTTTATTTTAGGTATTTTATAAAACACTTACGTAAGTACTGGAATCTTTTATTACTGTGGGAAAGCCATGCTTCGGCACGAATGGGTCGGCTCGACCGGAGTGATACCACGGCCTCACAGAAAACCGGCGCGAAACAACCACAGCGTTGTGTTTCGCCGTGTAAGTGAGGTTACCGGAGGCCCAATCCTTCCCCTTCCCAATCCCTCTCCAGTTTCTAAATCTCCAAATCCCTAATCCCTAAAAGGTCAGCAACGCACTCGTCACTCCTCCGTTACGGGTGTCCATGGGCGGCGCTGATTGCTTACCATCAGGTAATCCGTCAGCTCGTTTGCCGACATATTACATTAAAAAAAAAATTAACCCTATATGGCTACTTAAGTCTCAACAATATGTAACAGAGTATTATATCGATTGGCGTATGTACTCGTGACTACACACATAATTGAAACTCAATCCATTCTTGAAAGAAAAAGAACATTTGTTAAGCAAGCACCCCATATGATGCGCCAAAGGTGTACAACAAAGCAAATAAAAGAAATGCTTGAAGAACAAAATCAGGCAAAAACCAAGGTGCACATGCCAAAAGGGTTGCCAACTCAGTATACCTACGTAAGTCTCTAAATGTTATTAGTATTCGTCATCTACCTAAACATTGAGTTACTTGACAGTCTACTATTTCCTACATCCATAAATCGTTTAAAAAGGTATTAAACGTCTAATGGTTCAAAATGATAATCTATTCCAATTACCCATGGTCCATTGTAGTTAATCCCACACCCCGTTTGTCTTTCATATCTTACATGCAACGTTAATGTTTACCCCAAATAACTCAAACCCATCGTTCTTTTCATGGGGTGTTTGCTTTCTAAAACCTGTATTTGCCCCGTCACTTTACATCCCTCGTTAAACACATGGTTCATCTTTTAATCTAATAACCAACGAAGTGCAAAAAGGGGCTTCGAAATAATCTGCCATTTAAATAAACAAAACGTTGTAATGTCGTTAACATTTCACATTTAGGGACATTTTGTTTTTATACGCTTAATGCCCCATTAATAAGATTAAAACTGTCATATAATTTCAGCCAGTATTTCAACCTGATATCCAAACTCATGGAGACTAGCTCTGTTTTTTTTGTTGTTGTTAGATTGACAAAGTATTTTTTATCAGCTTGGAATAAAAGCTTGCTTTTTACTGTGGCAGGGAGCCAGTTCAGTCATGTTTATGTTATGGTTGAAAAGAGGCTACATACCTATAAGACCCACAAGGCATCCACCTTGACCTTGGACGACCTTGTAAATGTTCCAAGTGGTCTATCTGGAAATTATTAGAGGAGATCTATCATCAGCAGTGGTCATTTTGTCTATACTAATATTATAAAGAGGTAAAATTTGTAAGTTTGTATATACGGGGTAATTTTTGGAACCGCTCTGGTCGGTTTGCCAAAATTCTTTCAATAATAGATGTGTCTGACTGATATAGGCGATAAAACATCACGCTGCGATCAGGAGGAGCTAAATGGAGCCGAACAGCGGGTGAAACCGCGCGAGAATAGCTAGAAGCTTTTATAATAATGATGAACATAAATGAAGTGCATTCAAAACAACGACGTTAACTTTCCACATCCAAAAAAGACAATTAATTAATTATAATTAAGGCCTGGTTTCGACCAGTGTCACTTCAACACAGCTCTTGGTAAATAATGATAATATGAAACAATAGAATGGAATCCTAACCCAAATCTATTGAGAGCTGTACAATTAACCGATCGGGTGGTCACAGTGGTTACCCTAATCATTAGTTTTCTCCGCTCGGCTTGACGTGGTCAGCCGATGAAGCAGATACATAATGAATCAATTATGTACCAAGTTCTAACAAGGCATTGCCATTGTTTCCAACTGAGATTGGCCTTGAAATTATTCGGTGTATTACTAGGTCTAGATTGTTATACATTTTGATAGTATATAAAACTAAAATTTGCTCCTACAGTTGCGAATATTGACAGGTTCCGTTTAGTTTATTTTTTACTTTCTATAAACTTTCGTTTGACAGACGGCCACTGAGGCAAAATTTGAATTTGATAGAAAAAATCTTCTAAATTTTCGGTAAAACGTGAAATCAATTAACAAAAAAATTTATTAAGATCAATATTGTTAATTAATAGTTTCTTGCCCACCCTATGATTATATATATCACATTTTTGTCTGCACTGTTGGCACAGTAGCTGGGAAACTGGCTGCTGTGCAACGGGTCGTAGGTTCGACTCCCGCACTGACCAACAGTTTGTGTGGCTTGTCTGTGTGAATTTGTATGTTTATAAATAACCACGACACAGGAGAAAAACAGAATTTTAGGTTATACACTTTAACACCAATAAACCAACTAACATATAATTTTTGTTGCAGTGTTCGTGCTGTGCTGGTCTCCGTACATGATCTTCGACCTGCTGCAAGTCTACGGCTATGTGCCAGACACGCAAGGGAATATTGCTATCGCTTCACTCATTCAGAGCCTGGCGCCGCTGAACTCCGCTGCCAACCCTGTCATATACTTTATTTTCTCCAACAGGATATTTGTCAGCCTAAGGTGCGTTGGTAGTGTATTTTTTTTATTTTATACCTAACAAATGGTAAGGCAGCAAATAAAAAAATCTCAAACAGATCTCTAGGAAAACAAACATCGGTGTCATCTGATTTAAGGTTCTATGAAAATTGAGTAAGTTGTAAGAAAATTAAGGGCATTAAAGGCCAATAAAGTAAATCTAGTAGTACATAAATCTGAGCTAAAGATAATAAATGAATATCTATTAAATAATAAATATCCGTAACACAGAGTATCCCTAGGACTCCAGTCTCTCGCAAAAGAGCTTTGTTTTTTACTTTTTGTTTGGTCCTAAGATGATACTTATAAGTTAACCTTTGTGGAGAGAGATTTTTTTAATAAATAAGCAGGAAATTAATTTGACCAATTGTTGTAAATGAATGAATGAAGGAAGAACTAACGAACGACCGAGCGGCCAAACGTACAAACGAACGAAGGAATGAACGTATTCTTGAATGGATGGACAAACAAATAAACGATTGAACGAAAAGTTAACTTGAAATAAATTTAGGAAATTGAGTAATATTAGGAGCAATAGTGACATCGTTTTATTACAAATACTAGCGGCCCGCCCCCGCTTCGCACGGGTCCAACTATCTCGCTATCAAAGAGTCACTTTTTCCTAATCTTCCCCTCTACTGTTTTTTCATAAGAACCTTCTCCTGACAATAAAAAACACAACAAAAAAAGAATTAGCAAAATTGGTCCAGGCGTTGTTGAGTTATGCACTTACCAACACATTTTGCGATCCATTTTTACATAATACTCACAATTAACAAATTCAAATAAATCCTGGTTTAAAAATAATTTCAGACCCTGTAATAACAAATTCGGATTAGCTTTCTATTGATCGCAAAAACCAATCCTTCAAAAATTGATCTAGGTAGGTGACAAAGGGATTTGTGGAACCTTCTTGGATCATCTTAAATAAAGACCTTTTAAAATACGACCTCGCTATAAAAATACAGTGCTTTATAAAATGAGGTTTTATGAAACTAATCTAGGTAATTTGGATTTTCTTGCGTAAAATTTTTAAAGATAAAGTAAGTACCGAGACCTCGCCAGTTCTATTTTTTTGAATTTTCGGTTTGGGTCTGTTTGGATACCGCGACGTACCAGATAAATTTGAATATAGAATATAATTTATATGAACTATGTGCAACATATATTATGTAAGTAAATCGGGGACTTACGTATATATATAAACCTACTAAAACAGGCTCTTATACAATTACTAGCCTGGTGAAATGGACACATAGAAGGTTGTGGAAAAAATGCCAGTTCTTAACATCATAATAATAATTTCAGTGCAATCCTTCAAAGACTTCCTCCACTCCACTTCCTTAATAATGAAAGAACGTAACCATACGTATCTTTAACTAACTAGCAGTCCTCCACTTCTAGGCACGAATGTGTGATTCCCTGTTATTCTCATTTACTTTCTATTACATTTTCTTTTATTCTTCTTGTCCTTGTCTTCTATCATCCTGATCTTGGCGAATACAGTTTCAAAAGAATTATTGGAATCAGTCTAGCCTTTTACGCTTGATGCCACTACCAAAAGAAATTGGGACTCATCACTACATAGGTAGTATAAAAACAAAGCCGCTTTTTCTGTCCCTATATTTCCTATATATGCTTCAATCTTTAAAACTACGCAACATATTTTAGTGCGATTTTTAATAGATAAAATGATTAAATTGGAGGATTTATACATAGGTACATATAACATTCATTAAATTATGGAAAGAATTAGATAGCACTCGTGCAAAGCCGGAACGGGTCGCTATTTTCTTATATATAGATTAACTAGCTTTGCCCGCGACTTTGTTCGCGTGGAATAGTGACTTCTTGCAGATTTTTGGTTTCAAAACTATCCTATGTCCTTTCTCGAGTTCCAAACTATGACCGTATCAAATTCCACACAAACAGGTTCAGTAGTTTAGGCGTCAAGAAAAGACAGACAGAGTTACTTTCGCATTTATAGTATTAGTTTGGATTTGGATGAATAATTACCTACTCTCATCTAGTAAACTCATAATTTATTCCTGTCTAGACCATTTAACATATTATAAGACATGAAGTGACCATATAATTTAATAAGCATCTGTTTTAAGCTGAAAATTGCAGCAATTCCATTAATTATTTCGTAAGATAAACTCATTTCTTTGGGCCCCTACACTTAAAAAAGTAAAGTAGGATTTCAGAATAAATTATGCTATTTATTTTTTACTTAGGTAAAAATTAAGCAAATGGCACAAGTCTTTAAGTAAGGTCTCTTAATACTTATATTAAGAGAGAAAATTTTCAGCCAACCTTTACTTAAATTGAATTTAAAACTGAAACTTTGAGTGTAGTAACTAAAACGATATAAATAGTAATAAGGATTAATTAATCATTTAAACTGAAGAAATGGATCGTTAAATCGTTAATTTATTATGATGTTTTCGAACGATTTCAAGTTTAAGTTTAATTTTTTTTATTTGTTCAATTTAAGTATCTTGGTGTGAGTAAAGACTCACACCAAGATACTTAAATTAAACTTAAATAAAACAAAATCTCAACATTAAAAATCTAAACTAAACATTAGTTTAAAATCTAAACTAAACATTAGTTTAGATTTTTAATGTTGAGATTTTTGTATTTCAAATTCAAATTAATTATTAAACTGTGTTGTGGCTTATTTTCTGGAGGAAAAATCATCAAGTCGAATATGATTATACGATTATACTTCATTCTGGTATGAAGCTGTAAGATACTAAGTGTCGTACTCGGAGTCACCTTATGGCTACTTAATCCAGAACTAAGAAATTGTCTTTGAAACTAAATCATTCCAAAGAATTTCATATACGTAATCAATAAATGCCACCATAAAATACAAGCAATCAGTCACGATTTTTTAATTGCATTATTATAGCATAATCCATAAATAAAAAAAAAAAAATATTTCACAAGACAATACAAATAAGTTTGGTCAAAGCTCGAAAATCCTTTTACAAAAATCTAGTAAAAAAATCCTTTCCAAACTTTTTCAACGCAATTTTACTAAAAACAAACTTTAGTTTTAGTTTTGCTGTTTTATAAATAAATGGACAAAACAAGCTTTTACGTTGAAAATAGCCTTTTAAAAAAAGAATAGGTCTTAAATATCTTGTAACGACACCATCTAGCCTCTAGCGGTACTCAAATCGAGTTTGTGACGCCAAAATGCACTTAACTACTAAACGGTTTATGCTTTTAAGGTCATAAACTTGTCTTATTTACTGCAGTTTAAGTGACTATCTCTTGCTTCTTTAACGTCTTTGGTTAAATATGGTTGTATACAATTAATAATTTGTTGATGTTGGTTGAATTATTGTTTCCGTAAGTGTAGTGTATATGACTTGCTTTTGCTTCTTTTTTCATCTACCATTGACTCCTCTACATAACCCAAAGGTTCAGTGGCAGAGATTGCCCATGACATTAAGTCCAACTGGTACATAATTATTTGTGCAAAAGCTAAAAAAAACATGCTTATTTGATGAATTTGTTTATTTCAAAACTGTGGTGTAACTTCAGGTCACTTATTTTTGGTTCGACTGATGAAATAATAGCAGAATTCCTATAAACAGCATTTATGACAATAATCCTTGTTTACATGATTTTTGTAGTTACATAAAACCTTAAACATAAATAGAATTATGCGCGAAAGAGATCCATTGTTTTGCAGTGTCTCAAACTATATTTATAAATTTGAAACTACAATAGAGATTAAAAAAGATACATAGGATTCAATGCTACAATAATATTTCTACTTAAAATATTATTATTCTAAAATATTTTTTACTAAAATATTAAATTATATTAAAATAATTGAAGCAAATAAAATTTGATTAATTGAACACAAACATCGCACTACCCACGCTCAGAACTGTGTGTATAAATAGGCACGTTCATAATTTTATAACACAAAGAAATTATATTATAATATAATATTAAATGGAAACTTTATTACATTTAAGTAAATTAATTCAAACTCTCAACACAAAATTGAGCTAATATTCTAATTAAACATTTGAATAACATTTCTGGCTTTTACGTACACATCAACTGTAATTTACTCGCGATAATTGGTATGCGCTCCACAAGTTTCTTCACGAAATTAATTAGGACGGTTGATTGAAAATTGTTAATTATTTAAGGTTTACGATTTCTACGTTTATGACAGGATTTTTGGCCATGAACAATTGCTGTTGGATTGTTAGACCCGTAATATGCACTTATACGTATATATAAGCGAGAACAAACGTATGTATTTTCTATTGTTTCTTATACCGGCAGACGACAGGTTAAAGGTACATATAAGAAGTTCTACTTTTAGCCCCGATAAGTATCTGCATCATTGGTTGTAGTGGGAAACGAGTTGAGTTTTTCAGTTTTAAAGTATTTATGTGATATCGCTGCCGCTTGGTCAGCTAAATGTGCAGTCCTTTAGTAGGCAAATCAAATCATCATTCGAATCACGCTGAAATCAACATCAAAAAACGAAAGACATGACATAAATGCCAAAACAAAAGTTGTACTTCTGGCGATTGTTGTATGATTATAATGTAATGTACAAGTAACGCACATAAAATGTTAGAATAATGAATTATTTTCTTCCCCTAACAGGAACATTCCTCCGTATAAGTGGCTATGGTGTTGGATGAGGGCGAGTGACAGCCCTGCTGGGAACGAATCGCGGGCACACACAGAGCTGCTGACGTCATCACATCGACGGACTAGACATGAACTCACTATACGGGTAAGATAAAAGAAAAATATATTTTTTATCATCATTATCATCATCATCATCATCATTAACATCAACCTGATTTCGTCCACTGCTGGGCAAAGGCCTCCCTAATTGCTTTACATTTGAATGTACCTACTACATTACCCGTAAACCAACAGATAAACAAAAAGGTTCTGCTATGAGTTTTATTTCAGTAGAAGTGAGCCTGATGATGTACTCTGAGCTTTATTGTAGACCTTATTACTATCATAGGATTTTCGTGACTCGAAAAAAACATGAACATTTTGAGTGACTTATTTGAAACCAGCCTAGTTTTTCTTTTCGCTCTTGTAACCCAAAACTACATTCACCTACATTCACAATATGTGTTCACAATATGTTCGAACAAAATTTTTATATTTGTTTCCAATATTGAAGAGACATTCTGAACGAAGCACAATTTTATAAGAGTGTGGGTGGGAATAGTATCGACATGTTTTCAGGGGCAGTCACGTGCGCTGAAGCATGTTTCAGTTGCAATTGAAAGACACGTGAAGCGTGAAACTTCACTGAAATGTTTAAACAATTTCTCCACCAAAGGCGAGTTTGCAACCTACATTTTTACCCAGCAATTCCGGCTTGAGAATCTGATAAAAATCTGGCATGAATCAAATTATTTGTATATATTTAGCGCGTTTTGATATACTTCAAAGTGTATCTTACTGCCTCGTTGCTCGTATGGACGCCAATACGACTGTCATATAAGGATGGAACTATGACACGCACAACCTACAGTTTTGGCTGGGATTCTCAGATGAGGGAACGTATGGTATTTTTCGATATTTCGACTTATAAAATAACTGTTTAATATTTTTTTATTTCACATAATAATATTTACCTTTGTCTATTCATTCGATGACAAAAATGCGTGCCATTATTTACATATACAGGGCAGCTGTGTGTTCATACAGGGCAAGTTTTAAAGGGACACATATCCAAAGACCCCGTTTCTGGTGCTCAATTTTTCCATAAGTAAAATATGAAATAAAAAAAAATACTTCTCCATACAAAATGATCAATCAAGCAGCTGTTACGATTTGTATGGAAAAATAATTTTATTTTTGAGATTTGGTTATTAATATCATAGAAAAAATTGTTGTTTGAAAAATGTAGATACATACTACTTACAAACAAAATCCTTCAATCCAAGGTTTCATTCAGTTGAAAACTTGCTGAGTAATCCAACAACTAGTTATTGTATGCATATTATTGACTACGAACCCCTACTTTCTATTATGACTTCTGAAGCAAATCTATCTCAAAGCTTCACGCAAAAATAAGTCTTATGAATTCAAACGTGCCACTCGACTGACGCACAAATTGCTACATCAGAAACGGAAAGATATTTCAACTTTAGGTCTGTAGCATTGAAGACGCCAAATACATATTATTAACATGAACGGATGGACTCCTCCTTCCAATGACCTGACCAACACGGCAAAACACAATGTAAGTGTTGGTTCACGCCGGTATTCTGTGAGGCCGTGGTATCACTGCGGTCAAGCCGGCCTTTTTGGGCCATACTCTCCCACACTTCTCTTCTTGTGGTATATTTTCGCAATTAAGCACAATAAATTGAGCATAAAAAAACCATTTGTTTCGTTCCATCTAATTGGTATTGTTTCAAAGTTGTATAGTCAACCCCAACTTGGCTTGAAACTATTTCGGAGACATGCAAACCAATGCAGACAATTGGATTCAGAGAAAACAAAGCCAACGTTCGGCATGTGAACAATTTCGCCAGTCACCAATTTCACTTTAAAATGTAGACATACTTATTGGTTTTTCGAATTGCAACTCTAGCTGTACATATTTAGAATTGAAAATACAGAATGTTTGCTTTAAACTTACCTGGCTTCTGTTTTGTTATCTTAAAGGCGAATTTAATAATGATTTTTAGCGCACTGTAATTGTAGTTGTAGATACTGCGAATATTACCTATATTAATCGAAACCGTGAAAGTTTGATCCAAAAAAAAAATGAAACAAATTTTTTTCAAGGTCATAAATTCTGATAAATGATTGACCCGAAGAATTTCTATCACAACGATTTTCTGGAAAACTTTTCCTGATAGCTAACTTCCAAAGAATTTTTCGCGGAATATTAAAATTCCTGCTTCTCTAGTTTTATTACTTTGACTTCATCGCTTGATTGATTCCAGAATAACCCGTTTTTCAATATTTTATCCTTTTTGTTGATAATTATATATATATATATGTATGATTATAGTTGCTCTCAATATTTTTCTTCAAAAGTGTCGATTTTTCCTTTTATAAAATCATGAACCCTTATAGTAATGAACAGGACTATTTCATTACTCAATCGTTCGGAAACACACTACTTTCTTTTGTGGAATAATGGGCAAACGTCACCTGATGGTAATTGACCAGTGCCGCTGGTCAGTAGTTAGTTATCAGTGACATTAATCGCTATGCAAATCTGCAACACCAGAGGAGCCACAGGCGTGTTGCCAGCCGTTTGAAAAGAAGAAAGCATTTTGTCACACATTCGTAATATTGTTTTCTACACAGGTAAAAGATGACAGCGTGAAGTTTCCGAAGCAGCGTCTACATCAGTGCAACAGCACCAACTCCAAAAAGGTTCGTTTACATCTGCCTGACCAACAGATCAATAACAACTGCCATCCAGCGCAACGAAGACGGGATGATACTTTCTTGTAGACTTATAAACCAAAGTCTTTTGCCATACTTGAATATCTTTGAAAAGTACTCGACTTAACTTGAAATGTCGTATATTATACGTAACTGTACGAGGAATCTCGAACAGTTTCAAACCAAGCCGGGGCTCATAGTCATGAACCATATTCGCAAACTAACGCGTCTACAATCGCACAGCCAACCACAATTTCCCAAAGCACTCGTAAAAATCACAGAGAGTGAGAATTCATGAGGAAGATTTGGCTATTTAGAAACTATATTGAGCTTCTTATACAGATGAACACAATGACGATGATTTTTAAGATCACATATAATTACGCGGGTATTAGCGCGAAAAATAGTTATTTAAACAGCACAGATCGTGGGTCGTCCTGTCGAAACGTCAAGCCAAGCAAGGTATTCAAATAATTATTTTTCGCGTTAATACCCGCGTAATTATATGTCGTAAATATGAAACGCGAAAGTTCAAGATCTCATTCGGTGAAATTTCTCAACCACCCACATATTAAGTCGAGTATTTGTCAAAAAATTCAAATCATATGTGGTTAGTAATTTTAATTAAACTGTATAATATTTTATACTATGTACGTTCATGTATACTGTGTAATTTTAATAAATGTGAACATTTTTAGATATAAGATGGCATTAAACGAATTGGATATGATAAAGTTAATCTTAACATTTTAATAATATAGTAAAATATAAAAAAACGAATTGTAAGAATAAATTAATTTAGTTTAAGAAAGCGAATCTATAATTTCTTATGTTTTCAAAAGGGTTTGTTTCCAAATGACGTAAAATATAATGTTTATAGAGAGAAAACCACGTTTTCATGTGAATCAACTGATGTTACAACGGGACTCGTATCTATAAGCAGCGTGCGCGTCGCGACGTTGCCGCTCAGCAGTCTCAAAATATGTAGTCACTATACAAAAATAATATTTATGCAAAGATAATACACAGGGTGTCCGGTAAATAATGGATAACCTTGAAATGCCTTTTAGTATTTGGTAACCTTTGGCCATTCAGAAAAAACAACGAAAAGGAAAGTATCATAGGTAGTACCTAAATTATTACGTCTTGAAGTAAAAGAACTAGGGCTAGAGGTAATACAAAATGATCCTTTAACATTTACGTTCATTACATTAAGTACTGCATAACCATGATGATTAAACATTGCTTTAAAAATAAATTTTGCACGATTTGTCTATAATAAATTAATTTGCAAGTTTTTTATAAGATATTTTTTTTCGTATTTTTTTTGTATATTTTTTGAATGGCCATAAGATATACTTAAAGGTATTGCAAGGTTATCCATTCTTTACCGGACACCCTGTATAAAGCTTGTAAATGCATTACGGGTAGGTAATCTATAACAATTTCTTTATTCAATAAAAACAATGTTAGCAATTAATAGGTATTTGTACGAAATGAGCCATAAGAATAATATCTACAACCGAAATAAATATTGATACATAAAAAGTTATTACTTTCGAAGAAGACCGCATTCATCATTTCTGTTTACTAGACCGTTAAATAAATCAGTCATGTGGAATATTAATTAATCAGTTTTATTAATCTAGAAAAATACACATATTTGGCACCAGACTGTATTCAATGACAGAGGATACGAAACAAAGGTTATATATGCAACATAAATACAAAGGTTATATATGTAAACAAAATGCAAAACAAAACCTTAAATTACGTTATTAATCAAATGTCGTTAATATCGGAAGAAATGGAAGCTCAGAATTGATAATTTGTTAGTACCTAGGTAATTCGCAGTTCTACCAGATACGTATCAATTCCATACCATTATATTATAATTCGTCGACAAAAACAAATAAAACCGCAAATTACTACAAATACTTAATTTTTTTTTATTGAAAACTGGCAGCCCGTCTCTGGTTCGCACAGGTATTCAACTATTTTTTCGGTTGCCAATGAGATTTTTCTAATTCTTTCTGTCCTATTAACCTTCTTTCGTGAATTAATTGAGAAATACTTACTAGTTTCAAGTGACAATTAGACTCTTATCCGTCAGCAGCGTGAAATAAACTTAATAGTCTTACAAAAGTTACCATTAAAAACTCATTAAATTGTTTTTTTTTGTTTTGATTCAATCTGTACAACTAATTATCACGATATAATAAACCATTAGGTATATTATATTATTAAATTACTAAGCCAATACGTACAGAAGTCACATATTAAACATATACATAGGAATGTTGTTTCATGTATGCAAATATTGACTTTGCTAATGATATTAATGTATTTGTTCCGACTATCTGTAAGACGATGGAGTAACAATATGTTATTCAGAAATACGTAATATCTTATGGTATACAAATATGGCATGTAAGTACCTATATACGAGTATAACCATATTCTATTTATTTTAAACATGTTCGAAAAATAACGGATTTAATTCCACTATTTATTGTTTTATACAAAATGATTCCGTTTGAATATAAAACCATTAATCATAATTTTATTTTTTCCTTAAAAATACGTAGTAAAAAATAACTTAGTTTAATTTATCAATTCAATGAAATATTAAAATTACTAGCTGACCCGGCAAACGTTGTTTTGCCTTATAAATAATTTTTAACTTAGGGGTATGAAAAATAGCCAGTGATCGATTCTCTGACCTACTGAATAGGCTTGTAAAGTTTGGTAAAAATCAGTAAAGCCGATTCGGAGGAGTAAGGTAACTAACATTGTGACACGAGAGTTTTATGTATAAGGTCTAGAAATTCACTAATTTTCAAGAAACTACACGCAAACTATTTCCAAACAACATACAAACAGACTATTATTTGTCGCAAATAAAACAGCATCACACACTGTTCCGTAGAAAATTCACAAAAAAAACTCGCAATTATTATAATGACTAGTTGTGAAGTAACTAATCATAGCAAATTAATTGTTTTAAAATAAAAATGAAGGACTGTTTTCTTTCGTTTCTTTTTCTCTTGTATCTTTCGTGTGTTTTAATCTTTAAGAGATAAGTAAAGAACAAGATACAGGGACTATTTAGAAAAGTATCTACATTTTCGGTCTACTGTTTTATACGACCGCGACGGTCTAGATCTCTCGAACCAAACATTTTTTTATACAATTTGTTACTAAATTTGAATACAACTTTTCGTATGGTAATCATAATCATTTATTATTTGTACAACATAGATAACAAAAAAATTAAGAAAAAAAATATACATTAATACAGTACGCTATATTTTGTCTATGGTAAGACATACAAATACGTGTAGATTTAATTTAAAAATTTAAATTTGAAACGATATGTCAATAAAATCGTTTAAGAACTCGTCAACTGTATAATACCTATATTATTATATTATCTGATCAGGGAAGAAAATAAAAGTTTTATGACTTATGTTGCCGGAATAATAGTATGGCCACGTTTAACCATACGAAAAGTTTTGTGTTTAAACAAGTAATATCTTGTATTGTAATTAATATAAGTAGATGTTAGTATTTAAGTGTATATTATTATGTTCAAAACATTTGATATAATGTTTAGTATAAAGGTGCCAAACTATGTAGATTGGAGTCAAACTCTAGTCACCCTGTAACGTGTATTTTAAATTTACGACGTGTTTCTTTCTTTAATTATATGTTTTATAAGAAAGAAGTCTCATGATATTATGATTAACGTTTATTTTTCAAACACAAATTATTTAAGTATAATTCATAGGACGTATTATTCACAAAAATTTTAACGTTATTTAATTTTGACTGTACTTATTCTTTTTAATTTTTTTATAAAACATAAAATTACGAAACACTCTATTTGTACACTGTATCAAAACAAGATTATTGAATAAATGTATGGAATCAACAATATAGTTTTATTATAATATTTGACTGTTACGATTGTTTTTAAACGTATATATACGATAATACAATTACAATGCGCCCCTGAAAAAAAAATGCTGTCAGACTAAAACCTCCTTTTCCTTAAAGATATGCACAATGTAAATAAATACGCAAGGATTTAACAAACATAATCTCGACTGGCAACAGAATTAATATCTTCTCACCATTAATAACAAAGATAAAAGCAGTAGCGAGAATTTATACACAATAATTTATTACTGTGTCAACTTGAAACATAATAATACTTTAAAGACTTTGAAAATGTGGATTTATCTTCAGACGTTATGGAGGAGCCTTCGTAGACTTTTGGACGTAAACGCAACTGCTGACCGTAGTTACGATGAAAACTTCATATTTTTGAATTTGGAAATTCATATAATTTAAGACATGTTCAGGTATGGTTATGGACTGTAATAGTTTCATTTTTAGGACAGAAAAAGTAAGTATGCTAAAGCAACATTTTTGGATCGAAAAAATACCAGGTCGTGGTAAGTGAAGTAAGTCACTTCACATGGAAGAAGCTGAAGGAACCTTACAAGTTCCAATGCGTATTGGTAATTGCTAGGATTACACTTTTTTATTAATTTTATAGGCATTTTAATAATTTAGACATTTCTGCCATACCAGTGTGAAGAAAAAATCGAGAGGTAACTCAAACTTATAATTTCAAGCATGATGATTTATACTTATACTTTCTCGCTGATGGGCTGATGATGTTATAAGTACTGACATAAAAGACAGCTTGAGGTGATCCGGTAACATTTAATGTTACTCCTGTGATAGCCATTACTCGTATATAAACAAATATGTTTATAATTTTTAAACCTATTTGTAAGCTAGAATATTGCTCTAACAACCGCGAGCACTAGCGACCATGAACGCACTCCGCAGCTTCACAAAACTCTTAAATCAAATTAAGTATACCTTTATTCACAAAATAACTTAATCAACTAAACACACACAAGATTTAACCAAATTATTGTAAATAGCTTCGAGACTAAACTAAATTAAAAATACATTACCATACCATTAAAATTGAATCCCGCGTAGATTATCATGGTGATGCCGGAACGACGGAAGCGCCGCGCAATTTTTGT